AGCAAACATTCTAATGACAACATGCTAATAAAAAGTATCTTTAGTCAAACCAAAATTCTTTGAACAACATAAAATTTAAAAATATATAATACTCTGCTGTTAAAACTAATATAAATTATCATCATAACTAATTAGTTAAATTATTAAGTGATATATTTGTTAATTTAATCAATAAGTTCTGAGATATGGATATAATACCGTATATATCGTATCCATATCTGAAGTAGATATAGTCATTTAAAAAAAGTATACTGAGATAAATTTTTTGCTTATATAATGTTAATTGATTATTTTTTTAAATATATATAATTTTTACATAATAGCAAAATATATAAGAATGTTTCATTGGTAGGTAACGCCATTCTAACATTTCAGTTACAGGACGCGTTAGTACGCTTGTCCATAATTCTGACCATCCCTCGTTCGTATTATGTAATTAATAGATTAAATTAAAGCTAAGCCATTTTTTGTTGGATTTTTAATAGATCATTTAAATTAATAAAGCTATTCCTTTATATACATAACATCGGATAAAATTTATTGAATCCACGTAAAGAACTTTGATTTATGGATATCGTTGAGTCTTGGATAAACACATATAGACTTCACAATGTCCAGGGAAGATGAATTTTGGGTACCTTCACACACACAACCCCCTCCATCCAACAACAACAACAATAATACTCTTAGTATTTAAAAATTATTATCTAAATTCTGCATTCAATACTAATGACATTACGAGCTTTTCTAGAAGTCACTACAAGTGACTTTTTTGACAATCGTTGACAAGGGAGAGAAGAGGAGGTCATTAAAAGTTGACGTCAACAATGTTACTTTTTTATATAAATTCAATTAATGAAAAAAAAGAAAAACTAGGCAGCGTTTTCAGGCCTGTGTTACATACTTGCTCAACCTTCAGTATTTTAATAAAGCTATTTATACTCTTAAAGCTACTTTTTAAAAACCGTGTTGTGTTTTAATAAGACCCGACACATACTCCTAACTAGGAGATACTACTAACTAAATAACCTCGCGCAAGATATTTATTCGTGGGATTATATTTTTTTCAAAGTTATTGTTGGTTAATATGTTGTGCAAGAAAAAAAGATTTATATAAGTAAATAATCTACATAATATAATTTAAATATTTATATCAAGGGTACAACCTGCGTCTCGCAAGCCTCGTATGATTCTTTCGATGTCAAGATGGAGCTCTTTAGCTTCATGCAAAAATAGTAATAATTATATTGAAATAAAGATGTTGGTAGCTCTTTAAAAACTAAAAAAACTTTGGAAATTGTTACTGTTAGCACTTCCGTCTCTAAAGGTTGCCGACCCATAGTTTATACAATTTATTAAGTGCATTTTTTGTTATTCTAGACTATTAAAAATAATTGACTTTTACTGTGAATTTGGATTAGGTCTAACGTTAAAGGGGGGAGAATTTTATTAATTTGACCATAAAAAATGTTTATAATTTAAACATGTATGGTGTATACATTTTTGTGATCCCTTTTTTTTTGTTTAGAGTAATTCTTTGTAGTTCTAAACTAAAAATATGTTTATAAGTTAGGTTTATTTTGTTTTCTATACCTTATACTTTTATTCACTATTTGTTTAGGGCAAGCATTTGTAACTTTTAATTGTTACTGGAGTGATAGACATTTTTGATCTATTGTTTGACGGGAAAAAAACTTAGTTTTTTAATTGGAAATAAAAAAATCTTTAATAGGAAATGAAAGTATCACTGTTACCTACTGTTTTAATTCCGATGAATTTATATTTTTGAAAGTTTATTCATTCGGATGGAAAGTGTTTTTTATTCTTGTAATGAAATTTTCTTTTGACTCAAACATTTAATAAATAGCAGAAAATATAGTTTTTCCAGAATTGCTTAAAAAAAATAGACGAAATGGGTGAAATATATATGAAATATATATATATTATATAGTGGCTAGTCATTGACAAGCTATATTTGGCTGTTTCCACTAATGGTTCACTAGGTAACCGATAAGCAAAGCTCCTACCCGAAAAGAAAGGTATATGTGTGTTTTTAGTGGGATAAACATTAAAGCCACTTATGAAACGCACCAACGCCATCCCATAAATGAGATTGGTAAATATATGGCTAACATGTGCTTCCCACACGTGGGCCACATGAAATTTTGACGTACAAATGAAGCGTTGCGTTCGTTCTTATTTAGTGTGGTTTTAGTGGGATAAACATTATAGCCACATATGGGACGCATCAACGTCATCCCATAAAAGAGAGTGGTAAGCATATGGTTTGCATGCAAATGCCATACATGGCCCACATTAAAATTTCTTGTCGGGTATGAACCGTTCAAAATCCCTATACTTTCACCCCAAATTCACTAAAATTAACAAGAAATGTTTTCTGTGTATTTTCTGGTTATGTAACTTTTATTAATAGATTCTGTGTTCAAATGTTGCAATCATCAATAGAAAAGTCATAGTTCTTGATATTCAATTAAAGCAACACATTTTTAAACTTGATCTTTGAAGTATTCTGATTAACACAACTTTAATGATAATAATAATAGCAATAATAATAATAGTAATAGTAATAGCAATAACAACAATAGTAACAATAATAATAATAGCAATAATAACAATAGTAATAATAAAAATAGCAATAATAATAATAATAGTAATAAAATGATAACAATTTTAATAAAAGGATACTTTCATAAATAATGGCACTAACAGCAGCAACAAAAATTTAGTAAATAATGACACCAACAAAAAAGATTTAGTACGAAATAGAGAACAGTTGAATAAAAAGAGATAAATGAATAGATAGATAAATAAAGAATGCCAAAATATTGGTATTAATATTAATAATATTAGAATGAAAATTTTAATAAAGTTTAAAAATGGCAGAGAGAAAACCAGAGAAGTTATATACAGATGAATAAGTAGAGAATAAGTAAAGTCAAAATGTTAAAAACATCAAATTAAAAACTGAAGGATCACGAACTGATATATATAATAAAAAATTTCAATATTAATTTGTAAAAATATTTAATTGTACTTTTTTAACAAATACTTAAAAAGCTTCATTTTGAATTCAGAGATTTTAGATCAGGATGTAGTTTGTTCCACGAGCTAATACATTGAAATACAATGGATTTATTTCCATATTTAGCAGAGTGGTGTTTTAGAATAACTATATTTAAGCTACTGATGGAGCGAAGAGGATAGCGACAATTTGTCCTTGTAAATAAGTTGTTGAATGATAGTGGAAGGTTTTGGTGATGATAATTCCAGAAAAATTAGCAGTTAAGGAATACCACAACGTCGCTTAATTTTAATATATTGGAGATATTAGGTATAGCACATTAGATTTAAAGCTATTATACTGCAACAATATAAAGCAATTTGAACTTTTGAAAGAAAATTAAGTAAAAAAAGTTGATGGATTTAATGATATAATGATATAAAGCAAAATCAATCATTCGCACCATAAGGCAAACTCGTGCTTTTCCGCGGTGCTCTATGATAAATCCGTCAGAATTTCTTGGGGCACCTAAAATTAAAAATAATAAAAAATAAAAGTAATAAAAAAAAATTAAGTGTTGTTTCATATATTTAAGCAGCTGTGGCGCAGTAGCTAGAGTGCTCGCTTTATAAGAGATCCAGGGTTCCATTGGAGCCCTAGACATGTTTGCGCATCATCAGTAAGGAAGAAGGCTAGAACTTCTAAGTAAAATGCTAATCCAAGGTGCTCTGTATTATACATATTGTATTAAGCTTTGGCCGGAGTAAGTAGAAAACATAAACTGTCTTATCGCTAAGCCCCGTTAACATATTGTCAATCTTTATAAACAAAAAGCAAAAAGTACATAAACCGTTGAAAGTACAAATAAATTTTTACAAATACTAAAATGTCTTAAAAATAACATTAAACTATCGGGTTGACTCTGAAAAATTGTTTCAACTTTAAATTAAGATTTCTCAAAAACTGTAAAGGCTTTATATATCAAACTTTTTTTTTGTTAAACATTACTTCATTATCTATAACTGTGTAGATAAACCTTTTTTTACAAATCAATGACACGGTAAAATGTCGCGGCAACAAAACGACGTGTGTAAAAATGTTGTAAAGTTTTTTTTTTGCAAAAATTCATGGACTTCCTATCGCATCAATTATATATTATATAAACTAGATGTCTAACTTTTATCCGAGAAGTGGAGCCATTTACAAATGGCGGATTAAATTTGTAAACAAATATTTTTAACTTTTCTTTTCTTAAATGAAGTAAATATATTTTTGATTTAAATACTATTTATATAAAAGGGGAAATTAGAATACTTGTAAAATAATAATTTATGGTTCCTTAATTTATTTTTGATTAAAATGGTATTAAAGTTTTGAATAGAAAAGTAAAACGACAAACATTTTTGAAGCATTTTAATGAATTAAAATACTTTTTAATAAACATAGGCTCAAAAAAAAACTTTAATAAGTATTTTATAATTATTAAAAGTTGTTTTTGAATTATCTTTAAATTATTGGGAACTTTTGACTTGCATTTTACAAATCCGACTACATGGGTTTCGAAGTGGGGGACACAACCGTCAATTCTTAAAAAAAGTCAAGTCTTAAAAAAAATTTAGAATTTTCTTATATAAATCAAACAAAGAAAAAAAGGCCCTTTAGAAAAAAAGTGGGGCCTCCTGACCACACACACACACACACACACACACACACACACACACACACACACACACACACACACACACACACACACACACACACACACACACACACACACACACACACACACCAAACCCCTGTGTTATTGACCCTGCTTTTAACTTTTATTTCACACTTCGGCTTTAGCATTTGCCCTTTTTACAAACGGCGGACTATTGTTATAAACAAAAAAAAAATGGCTTCACTTTTTTGTCCAATAAAATCTGCAGGATTTTACATCTAGTCAGACATTTAGTTATATAATATATCATTGTTTAGT